CTAATGCTCTAAGCCAATGGTTTTCAATTCTGTCTGCACATTAAAGTCACCAGGGGAGCTTATAAGAAATACCAATATCTGAGCGCCACTCCCAAATTTTCCAATCCAACTAGTCTGGGGTTCGGATTGCTTCTCATGTATTATCAGGGTTTGGGTACTATAAACATGATGATCAAGAGCAATACTCCATAAACCATTCCTGAATAAGTCAGCCTTACTGAGAGTAGTTTATCCAAATACCAAGAGAAGTGAGCTTCTGCCCTGGCCAGTGTATATCATCCTGTGCACCAAAAGGCGGCAGGTTCGCTTCATGATCAGAGCACAGACCCAGGTTTCAGGTTTGATCTCAAGTTGGGGCACATTCGATGTTTCTCTCTCTTCTCTCTCTCTCTCTCTCTCTCTCTCTCTCTCTCCTCTCTCTCAAATAAAAAAAAAAGGAAAGAGAAGTAAGCTTCTGAGAGATGTTCACACATAACTGCTAAATTCAACACAGTTCCATTTATTAGCTGTCAATAATGGCTTATAATCAATATGAATTTGTTAAACAAATAACTATATTGCTTGTGGTATATATAAAGGATTTTTTAAATGTCCTTCACAATTACTTCACTCTCGTGCACTGACATCAGCATTCAATTTTGAGCTGACTTGTATTTAAGGTGCATTCTGATAAGTCGAATCCCGGCCACCACATCTGAACTCCCAAATCATTATTGTATATTCTCTTTCCTTCCCTCAACAAAATTTCAAATCCCCTTAGTACACTGATCTCAGATGACACTTAGGAGCAATCATGCCTCCATTTCCTCGAGCCCTCGATCCTCACTCCTTAAGACAGATGATGGTGTGAATGAGCTTCTCTACATTATGTAAGATGGTCTGAACCACCGATGGTGGAATTTGGGTAAATAGGCTTATCTGTGAGGGATAAATTGGAGGGCAAAGAACCCTTCTCATCATCCTCCAAGCCTCAAATGAAGATCTCTACCACATAAAAGCATTTTTCTTACGAGAACATGATATGCCAAATTCCATCATTTAAAGTGATCAAAATTATAATGGTAGATAGACACCCTGTCTTTGTGGCTAGCTCTTAGACACCAATGGATCAAATTACATGATTGGTATTATTAATAAAACTGGTAAAAATAATAAGTCACTTCAAACAACCAGATTAATTACTTCTGAAAGAGATGTAATTGTAATAATCATTAATCTTGCTAAATATCCAGATACAATGTTCATTCATTTTCCCAGCCTTTGGACAAACTTATTACATATAAACCAAAAGGGGGAAAAAAAAAACCAGACTGCAAATTAAATATAGAACTTTGAGTCAGGACCTCTGTATTTCAAACCCAGCTGTGCTATTGACCTTTTTATAAAATTAGCCCAAATATCTTCACCTGGGAGTAAGGAACATTGTGGGGAGGGGGGAGAGGAGGAATGCCTACATTTTCCCATCTGAAAAATGATCTCTTGTATGCATGCATATAAGCATAATTAATGGACACAAGACAGTGGGGGGTAGGGGAGGCCAGGGGAAGGTCAAGGGGAGAAAAAAAAAAGGAGACATATGGAATACTCTTTGTAATACTTTAAGCAATAAAACAAAATTTAAAAAAAAGAAGTTTGTATTCTCAGGGTTGTTTTGAAGTAAAGATTGCAAAGTTCAGCCCTGGTACACAGAGGGTCAGAACAGACTGGTAACTAAACCACCTTTCAGGCAACTTGGAAGGCCATTGCAAGTGATGGACACTAGTGCCCTGCCAAACAAAACTGGTAGTGTAGTAGGCAGTTAGATGGGCATGAGACTAGGAAGGAGGGGCCAGGTGCGGAGTGTTACCAGGGTGGAGAGCCCCAGGTGCCTAGCAACAGGCAAACTACAAGCCTTGGCGATGACATCTAGGCCTCGGCTGTGTTTCAGCTCCAGGACCAGAAGAGCAGTAAAACCAGATAGAGGGATGCCATGGCTGAAGTCAGGACCAGCTGCATTGACTGATGACCCCCTTCCTTGATGCCAACCAATCAGTGGAGACCCTGTCCCTGAGGAGACACACCTGGAAAGCTGATGAAAACTCTATTGGGATCCTTCCCCTGAGGCCTCAAATAAAAGCCCTCAGGACGCAGGACCCAGCTGGTCTCTCTCTAGAGCAGGTCTGAGCCTTTTCCCATCCCAGGACATGCTCTTTCTCTCTCTTTTTCCAGAGCCTTTCCTCCCGCTTTCCTCTCTCAAGGCACATATCTCTCAGTCTCTCTCCTAAGCTCTAAGCTCTTCTTTTGCCTCTGTAACTTGTTCTCTAAGCCCATTTCTTCTTCTTTTTTTAACTATTCTGGCTAGTATCCATGCTGCTCTTCCTTATATTGAGTAAGTCTTCAACATCTTTTTTTTTAAATATGTTTTTATTGACTTCAGAGAGGAATGTAGAGGGAAAAAGAGACAGAAACATCAATGAGAGAGACTCATCAATCGGCTGCCTCCCGCACACCCCCTACTGGGGTTCAATCCCACAACCCAGGCATGTGCTCCTGACCAGAATCAAACCCCAGACCCTTCGGTCCACAGGCTAACACTCTATCCACTGAGTCAAACCAGCCAGGGCAGCCCATTTCTTCTATGGCTCACTTCTTCTACCTCTGTGACTTTCTAGAAAAACCTTCTCTTATTGTTTGAGTGTTGGCTCTGAATTCCTTCTTAGCCAGAACTCAAGTACCAAGATTGCTGAACTGAAGTTAACACCTACTACCGTTTTTCTGCCTCTATCAGTAATCCAGATAATGAATTATGAAAGGCAAAAATAATAACTGTTACAAGGAAAAAAAATAAAAGCTAGAGATGCATTACAATATAGAATTCCTCTACCATACTGGTTGAACATCTGCATGATTTCAATCTAAAATCCACTTTATTCTCTTTGTGAACATGGGTGCACATCTCAGTGCCTTCATGAGAGCTTAGGGTGAAGGTTGATATCATGCTAATTGACCCATAAAGGGATTCAAACTGATAACCCTGGTCTTGTTAGGAGTATGTTCTAGTTAGCAAAGCACAGTGGTTATTATCATTGTAATTATTTACTGTAACTGAATGTACTTAACGTATAATCAATATGGTAATTAAGTATTTCTATACAACGGATGTGTTTTCCTTCCAAGTATTTTCTAATTTTACTTTAATGTCTTTCTAAAAACAGCCACTGAATTTGATTTGATATAAGACTTAATACCATCAATACTAATTTAAACTGAAAACATACATCCCTTCAACTGAAATAGATCCAAAGAGTTAATTATTTATTAATCCTTTACCTACCTTCAGACAAGAGCACACATAAGTCATCCAAGAATACCTGATGTTTTCAGTGAACTCCAGAAAACTAACACCAGTATACAAATCACTCTCTTTTCCTTTACTTCTTAGATATTCGTGAACATCATGAGTCTCAAATATCATTACCCACAAATCCACATTTTACAGAGGAAAAAGCCAAGATTCAGAAAGGTCAAAGTGGTTTGCCTCAGCTGGAAGAACTGCCAACAAGACTTCGATCTCCTGCTGCTCACGTTGGTAACATTGCATTTTGGTGACTATTAGGAAATTCTTCCATGTATCTATCCGAAATCTCTTATTTCCTTTTGTGGTGTTGTTGTTTTTTAATGAATATGAAAATGATGTAAAATTGTTTTCCCCAATATATCAATGTTGTCATTTTTATTTAAATAGCTCTAGTATCATCATTAACTTCTTAATAGGAGAACTTCAGGAGAAACACGCTCCACTGGTCATCGTGGCCACTCGGTCCTCTGACTACAAATACTGCCTATGAGACAAGGTGGTATCACTTCTAGACACTGTCAGGAAAATGAGTCCTGCTGTATTTCAAACATTTGAAGAGACATGGCTCCAGTCCTGAACCCTTAAACCAAGCAGAATCTCACAGGTGGCGTGGGGCTGACTCTGTATGCAAAGTGAAATAAGGGTAAGCTTCCTGGATTAAACACTGTAGCAGCCATCAACAATATTAAGTTGTGCCTAACATGCTACAGGCAGCAACTTACTTAATCTTCATAAATATCCCACGAGAGAGGAAGGTGTTACCCCAATTTTATAAATGTGAAAACGAAACCCAGGGGAGTTCAAAAAAACTTGCCCGAAGTCACTTCAGTCCTAAGCATCTGAGTCTATGGATGCGTCTCATCTATGTCTGAGGGCCTCCCAGGGCCAAGCTTTTAATCTGCTCCTCTGAACAGCAATGTTCTGTCCTCACAGAGGCAGGAAAGGTTACAGTTGAAAAGAAGCCATCTTGGCTAGATTGTGTGATTTTTGGATGCAGCCATTTACTTTTCTGAACCTCAATTTCTTTTCTGATAAAAATAAAAAAATTACTAGCATAGTATTTATCAGGGTTGTTATAAGGTCAAAATGAAATAAAACTATAAAGTATTATACAAATATGTGTCATGTGATGATCCTATGGGGGGGTGTGGAATCTCTTGATGAGGAAGTAGTCAAAAATTGTTAAATTGAAACGAACTGCCCATGTCTAACATTTAGGACTGTTGCCCGGCTTGCCTCACATCCCAAAGATGCCAGTGAGATGCTGCAAAGCTAATTAGTGTCTTTTCGACTCTGGAGTACCACACAGGATAGCAACAGCCTTCATGTCAGAAATAATGTCTAGCCTTTTCAAACACCTTTGCGGCCTCCACTCCAGCATTTCCAAAGAAGTCCCTGTTGTTTCCAGTAGTTGGAGCAACAGTGAAGTGTTTCCTAACCAGAGCCCAGAAATAAAGGAAGTAATATTTCTGCCTGACAGTTAAAATATACAATTAACACGTAAAACAGGAAAATGTTTTGTCAACCCTAAACACACTGCTTAAACAGTAATTTGTAACTGGGTGATAGAGAATGACCTCCAGTCACCAGCTAGGGTATATAGCTCTGAGCAAAGTGGCCACTGGACAATAGAATGAACAAAGGTAAAAGAGATGAAAGAGAGTGGAGATGGGGGGGAAGGTGCAGTTAGAGAGAGCACCCATAGGAAAGAGAAGGAAGGGGAATCATTTATGAAACATTGCATCTAATACTGTTCAGGGGGATATTGGCCCTCTGTCACATTGAGAAAGATTATTCCTAATGTAAGGAAAATTCTTCAACCATCTTTACGAAAAAGGGAGTCTTATAAACAGACGTGGAGTGCCACCTCTCAAGCGCAAGGCCTCCCCTGCCATCAGACAGCTCTCTACAGTGCACTGAACAATTTGGGATGAAAGTCGTTTTGCTTTGACTCTAACTGGATTAAAGCAAACTTTTGATTATGGCTTGGTTCCTCATGAACAGGTAAGAAAGTGCTGACCATGCAGACTTTGAGTAATCAGCCTCATTTCACAGTTATTGCTCAATGTAAATAATTGTCATCAGATGCCAACCAAAGAACCATGGGCATTTTGTTTAGCCAGTCAGTGGCTGAGAGTCTGATTACCTCCGGACCATGACCAGCACAAATACTTGGAGTTTAAGGGTCTCAGATGCTGCCCAGCTCTGTTTCAACCTCTCTTGGAAGATAAAACTCGACGAGGGTCTAAAATAATAAGATTGAGTGTTGACTATAATCGGGTGATCCAAATGACTATGAAAGGTGCTTACCAGGCAGATGTTCGGCAGATAAGGACTGCCATGTCATCAGTGTTTATGATGCACGACTTTCCTAAGCTGAGGTACAGATAATCACACTTCCTTCAGGACAAAAACATGCAGGCAGCAGAACACTAGTACGACATGACATGGAAAGTCATACCTTTTTTGTCACTTAACTCTGAGCACATCTCTTAATCTAGGTATTAATCCATCAAACAAACACTATTATATTACTTCCTTGTTTCTTCTAATAATAATTTGTTAAATATGTGTATGAATGGGTGTGCACAATTATATACAATCTATGAAGAGAACTATAGACCCTTATGCATGTAACTATTTCTATGATAATCATGACTTCTTTCATATTCAGAAAGCAAACTATGTACAAGTAACATCATTGCCCTTCCCAGACTCTGCAGCATAAGCTCAGATGTTGGCAGTGATGATGGCTTTTGTCAATCTGGTCCTAGCTACCTCCATCATGGGAGCCTGGAGCATACAAACATGACAGTGGAAAGGCAAACTAGGTCAGCCTAGAGGCAGAGTCTGATGGAGAAAGAGACCTTTGTCATTTCTTTAACTCTATAAGCCTGTGTTGTGTGGACTTATAGCACAGTCAGGAACTAAACAGCTGGTGAGAGGAGGTAAAATTCAAGAAAACCAACAGGAGGGATGGAGGGGATCAATTGGGGGGGGGGGGACGGGTAACATCTGTAAAACTTTCAACAATAAAGATAAATATTTTAAAACAAGAAAAAAAACCAACAGGATATTGCTACCACCCCTTAGCAAGTCACAAAGTAGGAAACATATGGGAAATGAAATAGGGAACCTACCCTGAACAATGCTGTATGTTGGGATGCAACAATTCATGGACATGTCGAGAGATATGTCGGAATAGAAAGAACTTAGGACCTGAAACAGGAGAACGAGGCTCCAAAATGTAGATGGTTACTAGCTTCTTGACTTTGGGCAAGTTACCCGTCCTCTCTGAGCTTTTGTTTCCTTATCTTTAAGTTGAGTTGATCATTAATCCTGGTCCTGCCACAGCATGCATTTCCTGGGCGAATCAGGGTGGGATAATGTGTATTTAAAATATGCTTGGTAAACTCCAAGCAGGTACCATTCAATGCCTGTGGCTCTTCTGCATGGGAAGTATAGGTCGGCACATCATTTTTTCACAGCCCTGAAGTGAGGAAAGTTAAGAAGAAAAATGCCTTACGTTGTCAGGGGTTAAAGACAATATAGTTGGTGAAAGCCCCTGGTTTTTCAAAATCCTCTTCAAATCTGCTTACACTAAAAACTACTCAAAATAAGCCATCTATCTAAATAAGCCATTTAAAGAAGGTCATGACAATGTGAATTGTTGTGGGTTCATATTAGAACTCTGACAAAAGACATCCAAACTTGCTCACTTTAGAACCAAATGTTTACCTCTAGTCACCAGCTAGGGTATATAGCTCTGAGCAAAGTGGCCACTGGACAATAGAATGAACAAAGGTAAAAGAGATGAAAGGGGATGGAGGTGGGCGGGGGGAGGTGCAGTTAGAGAGAGCATCCATAGGAAAGAGAAGGAAGGGGAATCCTTTATGAAACATTGCATAAAGGATTCTTGGCCAAACATTCTTGGCCATTTGTTTGTCTCATTGCCTAATGGAAAGTTAGTTGCTGGGAAAAGTGGACATGAAAGAACATGACTAAGAGGTGATATTGGGAACAGCTGCCTACAGAGGAAGGGAAATTTCTGGCATAGTATAGATTTTTCTCAAATTCTGTCTAGAATACCACACAGTTTTAAGTTTCTTGCTCTGCAATTCAGTTTTATAACTATCAGTTAACTGTTGACCCTCAGAAATCAGGTACACCCATTCACACCAAACAACAGGGAATTTTAATGACATGATACTTAGAAACAAGGTACTGATTGGACATTATTCTCTTTTTTCCATTTTTAAAAGACATTTTCATTTTCTTGCATATAAGGGCACTTAACGGAATTTCCCACACAAACCTAGTACAGGGGCATCCAAAAGTGGCACAACGCATATTAATTCCTGAATTATGCATATAAGTAGCAAAATTTCTAGAATCTGTAAGCATTATAAAACATAAGGACAACATCAGTCTTATTTAGTCTTATGAGCCTTATTTAAAACTAGAGGCCTGGTGCACGAAACTCATGCACTGGGGGGTTGGGGGGGTGGTTTCCTCAGCCTGCACCCTCTCACAGTCCTGGACCCCTCGCTTTTTACCACCAGCCTGCTCACTGCTCCTTACCACTCTGCTCGCTACTCCTTAGCACTCACTGCCATGGAGGTGGGAGAGGTTCCCGTCACCACCACTGTGTTCTCCAGCTCTTTAACTCTATCTGGCTGAGTAGTGCTCCCCCTGTGGGAGTGCACTGATCACCAGGGGGTAGCTCCTGCATTGAGCGTCTGCCCCCTGGTGGTCAGTGCGCATCATAGCAACTGGTTGTTCTGCCGTTAGTTCTATTTGCATATTAGGGTTTTATTATATAGGATGAACCCTAAGGAAGTAGTAACAGTTCTTTAGAACAACAGAAAATAGTTTATGATAAAAAATTAATAAATATAATGCCACATAGTCAAAGGTGCTGTATATTATTTTGTTTATATCTCCCAATATATCTATGTTATTCCTACAGATCAAGAACATTAAGCTAATTTATTATAGCTGCAGAGAGCTCCAGATGGCTGCCAGAGAAGCGCCCAGACATAACCACTTCCATAAACTATCCATGTATGTCAGAGCCTTGTGGGGCCAGGTTTGATTTTAGGAGCAGCAAGAGAGCTATCTCCATCCCATTCATCCCCCCATCTTCTCCAAAAAAACTTATTTTCAACTTCTGTAAAGTTACTTAACATCAAAGGAGGTATTTTTCAAGAATAATTTAACAGGATGAAGTATTTAAAATGTACACTGTCCAAATTTGTCTGATGAGAGAGACTCATAGCAGATTTTTATGGCATAAGGCTTTGATATAGAAATTAAGAAAGAAAGAGAGGGAGAGACTGAAAATAGGGACTATCAAAGGTAAATGCCCCCACTTTATAATGTTTTCTCAATCTTAACCTATATATTTGATGGCGAACCTATGACACGCATGTCAGAGGTGACACGCGAACTCATTTTTTGGTTGATTTTTCTTTGTTAAGTGGCATTTAAATATATAAAATAAATATCAAAAATATAAGTCTTTGTTTTACTATGGTTGCAAATATCAAAAAATTTCTATATGTGACACGGCACCTGAGTTAAGTTAGGGTTTTTTCAAAATGCTGACATGCCGAGCTCAAAAGGTTCGCCATCACTGACCTATATCATATCAAGTTTAAACTAGTATAAAATGTTTGTTTTATATGCCTTTGCTTTCACTTCTGTTACTCTCGAAGAGCAAAATAATAAACTTGGTTATTTTAGGTTTTTAAAATGTTTCCAGGCAGTTGCATCTTGATTTGATTTATAAATCACATAAAATAGCTAAATCCCTTATTTAATGACCAAAGTTATTAGTCTGATGTTATTTTAAAATTTATATTTGCAGACTCATTTGATAGCTTAACTCTGGTAACTTTTTTGAAGGCCCAAATTTGAAAGTGACTTACTCATATGTATTCTTTGAAAAATGATTACGTCTCTTGGGGGTAACCTGTAGTAAAATGTTTTTTCCAATTACATGTCCAATGGAATTGTTGATTTCTACAATTATTGTCATCATGATAATATACCCCATTGCTATAATCAAAATAATTTAATATCTATGTTAACTAGATACTTGAAACCTAGACTGTTCCCAATAGTCAAGAATGCTAGGCCGATTTTGAAAAATTACACTTACAACTTAATTTAGTCTCTTATTTCCTACATCTTTCCCAACTCCCATACCAAGCATGAAGCTGAATCAGGAGAGAGCTACCCAAATGCTTAAAGAGCCAGGGAGCAGCCTCCCACACCAGACAGAGTTCACTAGGTAGCCTCTTGCAAGCTACAGACAAATCCCATCCGTTCCTCTCCCGCAGAAAAGTTAGAGCAGTACTTGACAAGCACACTTTTGGAAAAAGAATTTAATTCGGAACAAAACAAAAGACTGTTTTCTTTTAAACATATGTATAATGGCAATAAATTAACAATACACACACACACACACACACACACACACACACACAAAGAGTGTCTTCATAGCTTACAAACACTGTCAGGTCAACAAAGCTTTATTGACCTTTTATCAGAAGGAAACAATAAATTTCTCTTCTCTAGGCTGCATGCTAGAAATTCCCTCATATCTGTCTGAAGCTTCAAATGGAATTACAATAGTCTGTAGCTAAAATTCACTCTTCCCCTCAGTCTTTGTTCCCTTACAATACAATCATCTTATTATCACTCCTTACAACAAATGCCTTTGAAGGCAGATTTCTTTATAAAGAGGTAAAACACATTTTCATTACTTGTGGCAAATTTTAAAAAGAGAAACAATGAGAGTAATTATGCCTACTCCAGATTTCTATTAGATGGCATTTTTAAATTGAGAATCCAATGGCAGAATCATTTATCTTCTGCCCTATATAATCAATGATAGATAGGTTTCAAAATGCTATTAAAATAAAATCAGGTTTATGTCTACAAGTACTATAAAAACACAATTTGTAAGCACCCCTGCATCCTTTCATCCCTGAAACAAACAAAAAAAAATACACATAAATACCTTCAGTTGAAAATTAAGTATTTAGTAAGACAGCATTAAAAAAATCAAGATTATATCTCTCATACACAAATTAGACCAATCGCACAAGGAAAAATGAATTTGGAAGATAGAGTCAAGAATTTGTACAACAGCATTTCTACAGATATGTTTCTTGTTTGTTGAGGTCTACAGAAACACTGAGTTATTACAGGTTTCTCACTAATTTGCTATTGGGAAAATGTAAATTTTTTCTTCCAAAAGTTCTTGCTTTCTCCTGGAAAAGGTTAGAATCAAGATAAAATCTTTCTGAAACATCATTCCCAAAGTGTTTGCAACAGAAATCATAAGAAAAAAATGGGGGAGGGGAGGGATTATAAATATTTTCCCCATATAACTGAGACATCTCAAATTCTTGGCACAGAAAAGGACAGCAACAAATATCTGTTTAATGAACTAATGTTGAATTTTTTTAAAAAAATATTGTTAGATCATGTAGGAAAAACTTATTTCCTCCTAGTATGTAATGTAAATTGATTGGCATAGATGCTTACAAGAGTACTTAAGGAACACCCAGCACTTGGTTTTTAAATTCTGCAGATGACAACAGCCGTTTTCTGCTCCATAGACCTTGCATTATGGCTCAGTACACAGTAAAGTCAAGCGTGCACAGTGGGTGGATTATATATATATATATGACGAAGGAATAAAAATAATAGGACATAATGGGTTGTTTACATCTGTACATTCTGTTTTGTCTATTTTGTTTTTGTTACTACTGTTGCTTTTATTTTTCTGAAGTGCATTTGTATGCATCACCTTACCTGTTTCTGACACTATTTGTATAGTATAGTTAGAATAAATATCTTTATATTCACTCTAAATTTATTCATATAATAATTATTGATCAACTACTATGTGCCAGGCACTAGCAGACTTGCCCATGGCAGTAAATAAAATAGACGTAAATCCTTGCTTAATGAAATTAAGTAAAATTTACCCGGAAAAGGAAAGGGAGGGAGCCAAGAAGCTGCATTTGATTGTGTATATCCTGCTTGGCCTCACTTTTACCTTCCACACCACCTTTCAACTGTGTAAAATATATTCCACATAACAACAAAGTGCAGTCCTGGCCACTTGACTCCTAATGCCCCCGGAGCCCCTTCCATTAGTGACCTTT